GGGGGCTGACCATATATATATATATAGTGTTTTCTACATATGTGTATGCATTGGTATACGTATGTATATATATATATATACACACATACAGAACCATAGTCTGCATGGTCCTGCCACGACTATACTCCCCAGCATGAGCATTGTGAGTGAGCAGGACAGGAGCTACTGGTAGGGCCCTCCCCGTTTCATCCAACGCGCGACACTTTCATGCAAGGCTGCTGCGTGACAAACTGCTGCCAGAGGAGCTCGACGGGAAAGCACTTCCCCCCAAACATAGCCTCAGAGAGGTTCTGAGTCCTACCGAGACTTTAATTGCGGGTCTAATTGAGCTTAGTTCTAGACCCTAAACCCTGACCTGAAACCCTAAACCCTGCCAAGAATGCCAGGATCCAAAACTAGGAGCTGGTAGTGAGCCAAGTTACATCGCCCGGGGAAGGTATCATCGGGCTTTTAAGGGTTTTATTGGGCTGTCAAAGGAGTCGTCTGCTTGTCTCACCGAGGTGCATGGAAGAGGCACACGGAGAGGTCGAAGTGCTCAACGAGGCCGACAAAGGCGAACCCCTTCAGCCTGCGTTTTCGCAGGTATAGGGACCTTAATCATTAGAATAAGGCTTTGGGATATTATGCTAAAACTATAATAAGGAACCCCAAACTAGTCTTGGCAATTTGCTAGTGGGCTCTATCTGCGTTCTAGGGTTAACTTGAGGGCTGTGTGGCTTAGGGTTGAGGGATTAGGGATGTCCTTCAATCTTAACAGTGCTTTCTCTAGGGGTGCTCGCAGTTTCTACAATATTTGTAAACGTTCTGTCACGTTTTGTCTGAATAGGCGCTGGGGTGCTAGAGGGTGTCGTTATGGTGTTTCATGGGGTCTGTGGTGAGGGTGCAGCAGTTGATGCACCACCCTCCCTATTAGCCATGGCCCCCTGGGTGATTTACCTTCAAATCTGATACCCCGACTCCTGAGTCTCAAATTCCAAAACCCTAACCTACCGACCCAGAAGATCCTGCAGCAACTCAAGACAGCGACCAACAGAATGGGTTAATGTAGGGGCCTTAATAATTAGAATATGAATATGGTTTTGGGGTACATTATACTATGTTTATAGCAAAGAAGCCCCAAAATAGTATTGGTAATTATGCAGGCCCCTATATTAGGGTTCAGGGTTTCAGGGTTTAAGGAGAAAAGTGGGATCCCATATTGTGGAATCTGCTACTCCAACTCTTCTATTCATGATGAATCCCGAAAGCAGCACATGATCAAAGCGAGAAGTGCTACTACAAGTATCGCGAACTCTGAGTACCTAAACCGTTGTAACATCCTCATAGAAAAATCCTCCTGATCCCTAAAACCCTGCCATGAGTACCAAATATCCCAAGCACTCGGCCTCTGCAACGCCTTCGGCAAGTCGTTTTCCGGGCTGCGGATGCATTGCTGGCAGTAGTACGATGTGCCTCTTGGCACTTTTTGACTTGAGGAGTGAGGATGGAGGGTTTAGGGTTTAGGGTTTAGGGTTTAGGGTTTAGGGTGTCTTCAACACTAAGGATGTGCAGGCCTTGCGAGCCATATCTATACCCCAGCTGGGGTGATAGTACGTCGAGATGTCCCATTTCTACCTAGGCAAGATTCTCGGAATAGCTGAGACTATATCCTAAACCCTAAAGCCTGAGCCCCTAAAGGCTATCCCCTAAATCCTAAAGCCAAGCCCTCTACTCCTCGCACACCCTTGTCAAGTGCACTCTGCACAGAAGCACGAAAGAGTTCCGGGAGTGCACGGTCCTACAACGGATAATAATAATAGGAGTAATCACAAGAATAATGATAAGAATGATAAGTGTCGAAGTAATAACAAGAATAAGAAGAAATCAAAATAGCAAGGACACTAACAAGACGACTAATAATAACAGTAGTAAGAATACTAACAATCAGAGCACTAGTAGAATGAATAGTAGTAAGAAGGATAGCAATGATAGTGAAAGAGATGAACAAAACCAAGGCACAAATTAGCTTCCAAGGAAAAACGTGCGACAAGCAGACGAGTCCCCCGCAATCGCGCGTCCAGTTGGCAAAATGGTCACGGTACCTCGGTTCAGCTAAGATAGATGCCTCTGACTCTGAACCCAGAGACTCCAATATCCCTTAATTAAGGAATATACCTTAAACCATATTAGGGATCCTACTATAATTTAAGGTATATTCCTTAATTAAGGGATATTGGAGTCTCTAGGAACCCGAAGCTTGGAGCCAAGAACATCCCAAGACCTTAAACACTACTTGGAGGATCATGGGACTTAGTAACTAGGGTTATACATAACGTAACTACAGTTATAACCCCAATTAGGGTACTTAGAACCTTACTTACTAAGTCCCATGATCCTCCAAGTACCCTGAGAGCCCAATACCTCGTAAACAAGGAATATACCTTAAATCATAATATTACGGACCCTATAATTTAAGGTAGGTTCCTTATTTAAGGGGTATTGGGCAGATCTGGAACTCTCAGGCCGAGCTCGGCCTGACACCTGAACTCCCCAAACCTCAAACCCTCCCAAAGGCACGCCTGTCAACCGTCCAACTCCAAGCCCAGCTTTGTGCCATCGATGCTGTTGTTCAGGGGTTTGGGTTTTGCAATATAGTATCATATAGTATAATGTATATGCTTTTGTATCAGAGTGGTCAACTACGTTATTAAAACATATTTTGGGATTGAGGACTCCGGGTGCAAGGGTTGGCCGACATCATGTCCGGAGAAACACTTTTTAAGGCTTTGCGTTCTTTGGGATGCAGAAACGGTCTCAAGCCTCACATACATCATTAGAGTTTCAGAAGAAATCGCAAGCCCTAAAGCCTAAAATAAGGTGTAGCTCGCTGACGACGATTATAGCACTGGGTGGTAACTCGGTTCATGCCTGGACATGTTGATGTCGTGAGGACCGCGAGGTCACGGGCCTCTTAAACCCCCAAACCGGACTTGAGTGGGTCCTTCATGTGTCCACCACGGAAGGTTCAAGCACCACCACGACTATCACTATCGCGCGACTGCCTGAACTTGCAGTTGAGGTACAAGAACTCGCAGTGGACAGGCGTGTAGCCCTTGTCTCCAGCTAAGAGCTTCGTCCTTAGTTTCAAATCTCAGACTTGGCCACCTCTCCCAGCAGCAACGCTCGGTAGACTTCAGGGTGTTGGGCTTAGCTTTGTGAGACGGAGATGCGATTTGAAGGTACTCAGACCTATGATACCCCGAATACTGTGAACTCTAAACTGACCGTACTTCAGGGCATGGCCCATGTGCACTCAAGGCACACCAAGCCTTTGGAGAAGTCTGCAAACCTCGGCAGGCAATCCGGAGCATTGTTTTAATATAGGTGCCTTAATGATTAGAATAGGGTTTGGGGTGTAAAATATCGAACCCCCAAAATAAGATGGGCAATTCTTAAGGCCTCTATATTAGGCATGTTTGAGCCAACTAGCTTCGGAGTTCCCTGGACCAGCAATCGAACTTTAAGGTTTAGAGTTTAGGCCTGGGCCAGAAATTGAACTTGTAATCATGGTAGGGCAATCTGAAGCCAAAAAGACTTTGAGAGGCAAGCCCTGCATTTAGGGTTTAGGGTTTAGGGTTTAGGGCTGCAGATATGGCAGGATTCTTCATATGCCCCCAAATGACCATTCACGCACTACCGCTCAACTCAGAATGAAAGAAACATCCTAGGCCCTGGATTCCAGCCCCTCAGACCCTATATACCTTGAATCGGAAATGCACTGGACTTGCTACTCCTGTCCAACCGGTGCCGGACAAGCCTGTCAGAAATGTGTACATGTGTAGCTGGACCGCGGTGTGCACTCGTGGCTTTACTGTCAGCTGCTAAATCCACCAACATCTCCTGAACCCTGAACCCTAAAGCCCGTAGCTGGAAGCTCCAAAAGCCCCGGAAACACACGCGTTGATGGGCACTTCGAGGCTCCAACTGTTGGACTCTGACTTAGGCTTAAGCTTTAGGGGTTGAGGGTTCAGGGTTGAGTGGTCTTCAGGTGTAGGTTTTCTGTTTAAGGTTCAGGGTTTGGGGTTTAGGGTTCTCTGACCTCAACCCTAAGTCAAAACCAACCCTGTATCCTCAACACTTAGCTTTAGAGTTAACTTAGGGGCCTTAATAGGGGCCCCTTAAAAATTAATCTGTTGTATTGGTAGTTATATAGGCTCTTACAGTAAGACTCACGACCTTAGAATGAAAGCCCCGCGCCCCAGGATTTCAGGCAAGAAGCTCGGTGATGTTCCCCTTGCCTCCAGCTTCAGTACACTGATGAAAAGGGTCGAATGTTTGAAACGCGGCCAAACGTCCAAACAAGGCAACAGCACCGTGTGGCATGCGCAGTTCTCATCGCAAGTTGTAAGATGAGGGTTATAGAACTGAAAAGCTCGATGCTCCTTGAGCTAAACCACAATGAAGGGTTTCGACTGGCCACGGAACTCCGAACCCAAACAGCGCAGTGACAGTTGGATGTGCTTGAAGCCTATGGGTGGCGACACAAGAAAACTCGTGTCCATCAATCCCCAAACCTGCGACCCATTGTCCCCCTGTACAACATCCTGCACCCTAAGCTCACTACATGAAATGCGCCCCCCAAGCCCCACCGACAACCACACCACAAAGGCCTATAAAATCCAGACTGAACAATCTCGAGCCCGACAAGCCATCCCTTTGCCTGTGACGAAAACCAAGCCTTACTTGAATGCATATCGGAAAAACCTAACGAAATCCGATAAACGTAATCCTAGAAATTCCCGGAGCACGCAAGTAGCCATACAACCCCTATCTACATATGTATAAGTATCTCTCTCCACACATACACAAATGTATACATATATACACATGTATATATATATATATATATGTGTGTGTGTGTATGTTCACACATGCACGTGCAGAGCTCTTCAGCCCCTCTGTGCATTGCCTTCCATGCAGCTTGCGCCCCGACTACAGTCAAAAGCACGACTCCCAAGCGT